CAGAGGCCCTTCCTCAAGTACTACTTCCAACTCCTCCTGCGCCGCCACGTCTATGATGACTGCTGCAAGTCGATCGCTTGTCGCTCCTCTTGTCGTCTTGAGATTGATTAGGAATGTAGACAAGATCCGCGATCGAGCCACAAAAAAAATAACCCTTCTTTCCGAGCGATTTTCTCAAAATTCTGAAAGAAATTGGTTTCCCCCGAAGACACGTTTTCGCATGCACTGGCCCATATAATGTGAGAGAGGTGCCGGCTGAGGAACTAAAGCCAGTGGTTCCTGCCTCGCTTTGCCGTGCTCCGACCCGACAAGGTCGCAATGAAGACACGATTTGTTTTCGATGCATCGGCGAAGTGTGACAGTATAACATTGAATGACACAATCCTGCCGGGGCCGAAACTGCAACGTCAACTGCTGAGCGTTCTCACCCGTTTCCGCCAGAAGCCAGTTGCACTCATCTGTGATATCGCCGAAATGTACCTGAGGATTGGGCTAAGCGCACATGATCGGCCCTAGCAGAGGTTCCTGTGGCGCGGTATGGATGAAATGGCTCCACCGCGAGTCTACGAGTTCCAGCGACTCGTGTTTGGGGCTAACGCGTCACCGTTTCTTGCCCAGTTTGTGTCGCAGGTGCACGTCCTGTCGCATCAGTACCAGTTCAAGTTGGCAGCCGAGACCATGTAGTCAACATCATATATGGATAATTTAATGGATTCTGCAGCGGATGACGACGAGGGATTGGAACTCTACACACAGCTCTCGGAACGCTGGAGGAAAGCCGGCATGTGCGGTAGAAAATGGCTTTCTAACTCCCAGACGATCATGGCCAGGGTTCCGAAGGAGGATAGAGCCAGAACTCCCAGACGATCATGGCCAGGGTTCCGAAGGAGGATAGATCCTCCCAGACGATCATGGCCAGGGTTCCGAAGGAGGATAGAGCCATAACTCCCAGACGATCATAGCCAGGGTTCCGAAGGAGGAGAGAGCCAGCCAGATTGACCTAGATTGTCCCGACCTCCCGAGCACTAAGACGCTTGGGCTGCTATGGTCAGCTACAACCGACTTCACCTCCAAGCCGATTGTGCCGGAAGCCCATCATGTCTCCAAGCGCTCCTTCCTGAGCGCCATGGCCAGCGTGTTCGACCCACTGGGGCTTGTGGCCCCTTTTGTTGTACAGGCACGGATGCTGGTTCGGGACATGTGGCTCCACGGCACCGACTGAGACGACCCACTTCCAGACGAGCTGAAGAACCATGTCACCGATTGGTATGCTGACATCACCAACTTGTCGCCAAATTCAACGCTGCCTGCAGAAAACCGGCAATGGCAAGCTTGTCAGCTGCCAGATCCATGTGTTTGCGGATGCATCCGAGGCAGCCTATGGAGCAGTGGGTTATTTGCGCTGCACATACAGTGATGCTAAGGCCTCGACAGCCATTATCTCCAGCAGATCGCGCGTTGCTCCCCATGCGACTCTGTCAATTCCTAGGTTGGAGCTGTTGGCAGCATGTTTAGCCATTCAGCTATCAGTTTGGGCCTCTGATGTTCTCCACCTAGCCATCCAGGATGGAGTGCTATGGACAGACAGCCTCAACGTGCTCTACTGGATCAGGAAACGCGCACGTAGCTTCAACCAGTGGTCCCATTCTCCGACTGAGCAGCATCCCGCTGATGTTCTGTAGCGTGGAACAAAAGCCCGCACTCTCCTTGGCAACACCCTCTGGTGGTCAGCTCCGGAATTTGTCCGCAAGAGTGAAGCCGCGTAGCCAGCTCAACGTGTTCCAGAAGTGAAGTCGATAGCCAACCTGGAGCAAAAGATTTTTATGGCGCGCTTTGTCTGCGTAGACGCGGGAGACCTTTGAGGTCGGCAGAGCAGCCTTGCCCCGCCACCACTTCTCGCACATATTCGGGAATATAGTGGACGTTCGTATAAAAAAGGGAAATAAATGAATACTACCAATGCTCCCGCAGCAGTAGCAACGACATGATGGTTGATGATGAGGAGGAGACACCCTGGAGGTTCGACCCAGCCTGCTTTTCCAGCCTGCGACGTCTTGTTCGACGGTGTGCATGGGTAATGTGGTTCGTCGAGAATTGTCGCGAGACGCCAGAATGCCGTGAAACAGGTCCATTGGCTGCTGACGAGCTTGAGAGCAGCAGATCTGCTATCATTGCGACAGCTCAGAATGAAGCATTGGATGAGTATCGCTTTCTGAAAGCCGGCAAGCCCATTCCAGTGGCGAGCAAGCTTGTGAAGCTATGACCTACGTTCATTGGAGACCAGCTACTGCGTGTGGACGGATGATTGAGTAACGCCAATATGCTAGAAGAGACGGCCAGGTGCCATATTATTCTCCCGAAGGGACACTGGGTGACTGAGCTCATTGTACGTGAAGCCCACGAGGAGAGTAGCCATGCCGCAGGAGTGACTCACACCCTAGACATGTTGTCACGTCGTTATTGACTGCTTGGTGGACGAGAGGAGATCAAGGCGTATGAGAAGAAATGCAATCTGTGTCGACAACGAACGGCGACACCAGGTACCCTGATCATGGCACCGCTACCAACTGTCCACGTGTCATTGCCGCTAAGAGCCTTCTCGCGCATTGCAGTCGACTATGCTGGGCCATTCATTCCCAAGCAGGGTCGTGGCCAGCCATGGGCTAAACGATATCTAAGACATGGGCTAAACGGTATCTCTTCTAGTGATGGGTATAGTCCACACACCATTTGGAGAGTGTTGTGACGATGTATGGGTATTGTGGATGGCTACAGAGAAATGACATTACCCAAGGGATAGTAAAACATTGAAACCATATCCTAATTGAAAAGAATTTAGACTATTGACTTCTATTCATCAACAGGTCAGCAGTCACGAATGCCTGGTGTGACAAAACCATTGTCCAATCAGGTTCAACAGCATTAACCCTTTGTCCTTTTGCCCAAAATGTATGTGAGGGGTACATGCTTCAACAAATCCACTCACCATTCCCAAGCAGCTCATATTTTGTATGTACTTCCTCCGTTAACAAAAACTTCGTGATGGAATTTTGAGGGGCTGATTTGGGCACAAACTGCCGTGAAATGAGTCGCAATCACTTTCTTGGCCTTCCCTGGCATGCCATGACAGAGGTACGCTGCAAGGAAAGCGACCTTTCACAACAAGCCGAGCGGAATCGATGGTTGCGCTGTGGAAACATAGGTGATGACAGTCATGGCGAGCGAAACAGAAATACCACTTCTCCGAGGGGATATTGCGCTGCTCGGCCTCTCTACCACTTTAGCACTGAGTACGTTGGAGAGTGATAGAGAGCGATAAAACGGAGCAGCGAGCCCACACAATGAGTGAGTGAACAAGGAGCTGCTTCGATCGCACGGCTCAATGAAAATAATTCTGAATTCAAGTTCTTGTTCAACCTGCGCGAAGCCCAGATTCGAATGCTGATGACCATGCATTCTTTCAGAAGTCTGCAGTCCGATGCGAGTCTCGTGGCTAGCCGCTTTCCGTTCAGTGCCGGTATCCATTAGAGAAAATGGAATCAGTTTGGCTGTGCCTTTATTCCTCGTTTCGCGGAGTTCTGGAGAGCGAAGATGAAACCAGGGAGTCGTAAAATATTTTTCACGACTCCCTGGTGGAAACGAGTAATCGCCATCGCGGCGGATCACGCAGCTTGAAAGCAAACTTACTTGAACTACGGCAACATCAAGCGGAGTGTGATCAAAGAAGCCAAGGCAGGGCTGAAACGAGCTGAACAACGACTCGAGAGGGATGATGACTCGCGTACAGCAGATGACGACTCGCGTGCAGCAGATGACGACAGCGACGCAGGTCAAAAATGAATCGAGCGAAAGCGACGCAAACTGAACTCTCTGCTCATTCCGCCAACAGTTTCTCTTGTAAAGACGCTGTCCATAGGCTGAATCACCTTCGTCCAGTAATTTGTAATCGATACAAACTGTTCTTGACCTGTTCTAAGCGTTTTCATATCCATCAAAATCCATCACGAAGTTTTTGTTAACGGAGGAAGTACACTTTATGTTTTCCTGAAAGCTTATGATAATTGTGAACTAAAAATTTGGGTTGAATTCCTCAGATAGGCGTGGCTAAACAAGAGTATCAAAAATCGGCAAAATTCAAAGTTCAAGTTCTTTCCTATGTATAATAATGTGCAATTTGTACAAGTATGACCTGCAGTAGCACCCCTGGCATGTTGGGCAAACACGGAGCATTGGCCAGAGGAGTGCCAGTGGCGACATGCTCAACATTGCGGCCCCGTGCGGCTACTCTCCTCGCTCTGAGCGGCTGTCGACCAAGAGTTTGACGGCGCGCAGGTGACGGAGATCTGGACCTCTCTGGGATCGGGCTAAGCTCCCCCTCCACGTGCTGCGGCATTCTAGCTGACCCTGCTGCTCCACGACGGGTAAGACACGGCGGTGGTACACTCTCTTCACCACGCGGGTGCTGTTCTGCCGATCCTGCGCTCAAATCGGAGCGGTCGAAATGTCCGACAGTTGGGTCGACGGTTATGACATCATAATCCGCGTCGTCATCAAAATCAGAATCAACACCTTCTACTAAGGCTTCGTCCAGTTCGTTCTCTTCATCATAAGACATAGGATTGTCGCTTGGGTCACTCCAGCTATCCTCAAACAAGCGCTTCATCTGCATCAAGCGACCTGCGTGCTGCCATGTCGGAAGTTACGGCGCAAGCAAACTTCGACTTTGATTTCCTGAATTTTTTCTAGCCCCAGCGACCCGTGTGTCATCCTCTACATAGTGTAGGCTGTGTGCACGTGAATTTTCATGTGGATCGGGTGATCCGCGTAGCTTCCAGGTCGCTTTGAACATGCGTGGGTTGAACCGTACACAGGTGTACGGTTCAACAGGTGTACGGTTCAAGTATGGGCGAAAGGACAAAGGGTTAAACAGCGGTAGCTTGCACAGAAAGACTGTTTGCAGCAGTTTCAGCAGATTGGCATTTCCCTTCAAGTTAACTTACATTTCCTTTACGCTGACAAGACCTGTAAATACTCCCGTCTTTAAAGTTCTCAGTACATTACGTTCCATATATCTATACAAGGAGGAGAGAAAGCAAACAAACATTTGTCATACATTTTAATGCATGACGTACTCACGACATCCAATTGACACCACGGATACGTGGCCAAAGATGTGCAATTACCTAAATTTTAAAGAGGAAATTAAGGCAAAAATTAAAATTTCACCAGTTTGCTGAGTCGAATGGTCGTGGTCCGAGGAAGCTGAGACGCTCCCTTCCTACTTGAATCCCAATCGAATTTGCGCACTTCCACCGAAACTGGGTGACTGCGCCCTACTAGATGGGGATTTGTATGCAAAATGTCACTAAAAGCGCCATTTCGTTCTTATAAAAGCACGGATGACCGCGATTGGCCCATATGTTTTAGTCTTTTGGACGCTGAGTTGACTGGTGTTGGTCCGAAAAGGCTGCGATGCAGTGTTCCTCCTTTATTCCCAATTGAACATGGTTGAACAAGCGGTCACGTGCTCCTGCGTACGCCAGTCACCTGGTCACCATGCCTGCAGGGTACAACTTACTAGCCTGTTTGACGTTTTATGGGTGCAGTCCTGTCACTCGAGTTGAACTCGAGTTGAACCTTGGTGTGAAAGTTGTCGCCTGCTGGCGTGGTGACCAGGTGATTTGGGCACCCAGGAGCACGTGACCGCTTCTTCAACCATGTCCGATTGGGAATAAAGGAGGAACGCTGCATCGCAGCCTTTTCGGAGCAAAACCAGTCTACTCAGCGTCCAAAAGACTACAACATATGGGCCAATCGCGGTCATCCGTGCTTTTATAAGAACAAAATAGTGCTTTTAGTGACATTTTGCATACAAATCCCCATCTAGTAGGGCGCAGTCACCCAGTTTCGGTGGAAGTGCGCGAGTTCGATTGGGATTCAAGTAGGAAGGGAGCGTCTCAGCTTTCTCGGACCAAGACCATTCGACTCAGCACCCCGAAGATTACAACTGGTGAAATTTTAATTTTTGCCTTAACTTCCCCTTTAATAGCTTCTATACAGTGCTGCAGCGGCATAACTTCACATCATGTCACTTGACATGGTTCCAAAAGGTCACGCTGGCAAAAAGTGCAAACTGCAAAATGACCATTTCACCCTCATTCTACGCTGTTAAACTTCAGTATCACTTCATCCTTAATTGTTAAACTGCTTAGCGTATCAACATTGTGGGGTTGAGGGCAAAAGTCTCACAAACGACTGGCACAAGTGCCGCGAAACTGCAATAGGCGCATCCATGTAGCCCTTGTGCCTGGCCACAAGTTCCCAGTCCCCAGGCAGGACTTGAACCAGGTACCTCTCGTATCTCAATCGTGGTCTTTGCCCAATACACTGTGCCTACCTGGTACCCCACCATTAGGCTCATACTGGGCCAAGCTAGACCAGATGCAGCGACGAGGCATTTACATCGTTGGATTGGGCTCCTGGCTCCCTAGTCTATCTCTGCGGCGGACAGTGGCTTTGCTTGCATACTTGTACAAGCAATTCTGCTTGGATGCGGATAGCCCACTAAAGAAGATCTTCCCCCTGGTGCCCAACGTCGACCTAATAACATGCAGCTATCCCAGGACGCGAGCGAAACAGCTGTCTTCGTGCAGTTCTTGCCAGCGCTGTGCAGACATGGAATGTTATGCCCTAAATCATGCTGCAGAGACCCCACGCCTGGACGGCTTGCAAGCCTTCAAGTGCCGAGTCCACCGTCGCTTCCATACTACTGTTGAGTATGAATTAGACATAAACAATTTGAGGGTGATAATGCTGTAACTCGCTTTTCTCTACCTGCTCCCAGTCCCGTGCCATCTCCACACTTATACAAAAGGACGACGATAACTACATTTAGGAAGACTGTTTATTACAAGACGACGACGGAAACACAAGTACAGTCAACTTCGCTAATAACGACTTCGGATATAACGACAATTCGCGAATAACGACCGAATTTCCATGCCCAGAGCAAAGTCCCATCTAACTGTATACATTTAACTTCGGATATAACGACTATCTGAATAACGACAATTCGCGTATAGCGACATGCTTTTAGTGCCCCGAGGTCATATTCACTGCTTGAATAACGACTTTCTGGGCTTTTGACAGCTATTTCAAGTACCTGTCAGTCAAGTACATGTACCTGTCATGCAGAAGTACCAGAACCTATGGTGATGGGTATTATTATTATAAAGGCACACATGCAAGAAAATGCAGCCAAGGGGGGCTTTTTCTTCCTTTTTTATGTTGGCTTCAAAATTGTTGGATTTACCAGCACACCTATATGTATACAATGTACATGTAGTTGTACATGATTGTACAGAAATCATCATACATGTACATGTCTCTGGCCCTGTAGATGGCTCAAAAAGGCATATTTTTCAATTGATTTCCCTTGCATATTGAATTTTTAGTTCCTTTCAACTGCAATATGAAAATAAAGTACACATTGACATAGAGCAAGAAAAGAGCTTGATTTTGATATGCATGTCATACTATACAAAATATGGGTTCACATACATTCAAATGGGACTTCGGTTATAAGGACACTTCGTGAATAAGGACACTTTTCTGTTGCCCCGCCGAATGTCGTTATTGGCGAAGTTGACTGTAGACATGACCAACTCAAGACGAAGACATCATGAACTCAAGACGAAGACAGCTTTTCACACCACAGCAACACGCGCATGCACCAACATGACGTACACAAAATATCGTACTACAACATAACTCCCTCCCAAGAGTAGAATCGTCCTCGATTCTAATAATAAAACAGAGGAAAAAGAGGAAAAGATCACACAAATCACTCAATCATACCACACCAGTCACACCCAGAAATAATATACCTCTGCCTGCACTGCAGATTATTCAAAAAAAACTCTGTCCGCCCACCCAGAACACCAGCCACGATCGCTGTCACACGTGTGGGAACTGATAACCTCAAAAACTCTAAACTTCTGCACTCAACACACCACCTCACGATCACGCAAAAATTCTAAAAATGTGAGAGCACAAATCATAAGAATAACAAAAAGAACAGAATCCACTGGCTCTGTGGGGGCCTCTAGTTATCCTCATAGAAGAGCAAATCAAAAACAAACAAACAGAACACACGCGCTGTGCGGGCGCCTCTTTACCCTCGAGGAGAGCAAATAATAAAGAACAAAATGTTGGGAGAACAGAAAATACACAACTCACATACTCATCACGTTCACAACAACACACGTACCCTCTCACCAACGAAACTCCTCGCGCCGTCTGCCATGTCGTCCGCCATCTCAAAGCGCTGCTCAGCGTCCACATCCTCACACTGCAGCCTTCACCTTCCATCCTTCTTTTTTTCTGTTTCAGTTTTTCTTCTGGGCACAGTTTTACGTCGTGTCCGGGACCATCCATCCTTCTTTTTCCTTTCCTTTTCTTCTGGGCACAGTTTTACGTCGTGTCCGGGACCGCCAGTGACGACGACTGACAAGAGACGGGAGAGACGAATGATGAAGGACGAGGACAACGGACGAACTTCTTCAAGACGGACAAAACTGTGACGATAGGACGACTGGAGATGACATCGGAAACTGGGAGCGAAGGCCACGCAGGACGAATCCAGAAGTTGAAGTTTACAACAATTTCCGTTACCGCTGCCACCAATGTTGTAGGCCTAATCTACTGTATTAGTAAGGCCTCTGACGGGCACTGGACTCATCAGACACTGGACTCATCAGACACTGGACTCATCAGACAATGGACTCATAGAACACTGGCAAGGGAGCCTGAAACGGCATCCGAATGAATTAGCTTTCAGAATCAGAATGCGAAACCAAAACTGGAAGTGAACTGAATCTGAGTCAGAACCCGAATGAAAATGCTTAGACCAATCTCGTGGTTATCAGGCTGATTGAAGACTCTGGGGGATCTTCAACCAGCCAACCAGAGCATCTAGATTATAGTATATAGTAGTTAAGAATCTAGGGTTGCTGGAGTCTGGGAGGGGGTGTCTAAAGCTCCATATACATGTAGAAGATGTGTACAATACTTACGGTAATACTATAATCTACAACATAAAAGCTTACAGGATCACCATACCAAGCGTATACAAGCATAAACTTATCCTGTCAAGCAAGAGTACAATCATAGTACATAGCTCCATGTGCTCTTATGCCAAAGCACATGGTCTTATGCCTTTAAAAGGAAGAGGGTATTTATGCCTTAAAGGGAAGAGAGTATTTACACCTAAAAGGGAAAAAGGGTGTTATGCCTAAAAAGGGAAAAGAGTATCTATGCCTTAAAAGGGAAAAAGGGTGTTATGCCTAAAGGGGAAATGGGTATCTATGCCTTAAAAGGGAAAGGGGTAATTATGCCTAAAGAGGGTATTATTCTTAAAAGGGCTTAATACAACTTGCTACATAACTCCCCTCCTTCTTCAGTCATGTCCTCATGACTTAAAAACAAAAACAACAAGAATGATCTTTTAAAGACTTATGTTTTCCTACTTAAAACAAGATAAAATGAGCTTTTCTGGCACAACAGGATTTTCATGCAGATTCCATTATTCAACCCATGTGAACACCATGTGCACTGCCGTACCTTATTACCAGTGTGGGACATTTGGGCTATTACATTTCCATTAATTATCGAGCATATTCATTCAACCAAAGGGGAGGGCGGCGATTGCGCGGAGCACGAGCTGCTGGTGCTGGAACTGCTGCAACTGCTGGAGCTGCTGCAACTGCTGGGCCTTCGTCGTCAGGGAATGCGATGAAAGGAGAGTGTGACAAGGGAGGTGCACTCTGTGCCAACGGCTGCACAGCGGGCGATTGATTTTCTGTGGGCAAAGCGGGACCAGTTAAAGGGGAAGTATACCCTAAAATCAAATTTTCACCAGTTGTAGTCTTCGGGGTGCTGAGTCGAATGGTCTTGGTCCGAGGAAGCTGAGACGCTCCCTTCCTACTTGAATCCCAATCGAACTCGCGCACTTCCACCGAAAATGGGTGACTGCGCCCTACTAGATGGGGATTTGTATGCAAAATGTCACTAA